TAAGATTTTGTGTTTGAGACATTAGGCTTGAGACTTTAAGACTTTGTGTTTGAGCCTTCACTTTTCATGTCATTACATTTTAATAGATTGCTGTATGGGCTTCCAAAGTCCATCATCACGTTCGCCACAAAATTTTTCGTTACTGACTCGCTGATCATATGCAATCGCATCTAAGGACTTATTCGCTATCTGCACGAGTGTTTCTGGTTGCCGTTTGCCTCTCGGCATTACGTCCGAAGTCTAGCGATCCCCCTTACCCCTCCCCGTGCATTTAAGTTTTGGCACCAGTGACATCACGCTAACATCTAGCGAGGATGAAGCGAGAATCATCAGACGGTTTTGCCTGCCTGATACTGCCATATGTCCCGTAAAAGTATGTTATAAGCTGGTAACATGTATTTCCATCTTGATGGAAAGTTTCCCAGCACAGGCGTTTCAATAAGCACCATTGTAAAGCGCTCGCTAGCCTAACTTCGTGACCCACTTCACAGACTTTTAAAACGAGATCATACCATCAGTTTGTGATACCAATTGTAAAGAATCGATTATATTGTGCCACACTTCATAGCATATCGTAGCCTTAACTAATGTAGGAAATGGTCGGAATTACTGTCAACGTTTTCATAATAGGTCTGTGACGGTAAATCGATTTAGTCACATTCAATTTGACACTCCCTTCATTAGAAACATGGATTACCTACATACTTGTGGCTTACTTGCCTTAGAAACACCTCGAAACCAAGAATACAAATAATGCATCTGCCTTGACTAGTTTTTTTAGGCGACTTTTTTTTTTAGGCGACTAGTTTTTGCTTCCGGCTGGGCCTTTCTGGGGAATGGTCCGGGGGGGGGACAGCTTTATAACGTGACGAATTCAACATATGCATCCCCATACCTCCATACCGCACCCATGTCCCCAAATCATGATTTCTCCTCGAATCTAACCCACATTGCCATTGGCATCGAATGAAAAACGACCGAAAATGTACCTATTGGATGCGATATGATGGGGCCAATGGGGGCTAGGACACGAGCTGTCAGTGGGAGACGGGACGGAAGTATACCTTCTTCGAATGCGTAGTTCCAAATGGGTGCAGACTGCTGCGTCATAAGCTATGTGTTTTTGGCCACTAATCTTCCAACTCACTTGTTAAAGTTAAATGACCTGCCCATAAACAACGCCATGGGTCACATTTTAATCAACTTCTAAGAGGTGGACGTGTACCAGGAATTCCGTGCGAATTAGTCATTTTCGCAACTGGTGACACCGTCAGAGGCGTCCGTTCACTGGGAACCTGACCGTGACCGTCTATCAGTGGTTAGCGGCCGACCTATAAAAGCGAAAGCACCAAGGGAGCAGGCACCACTTGCACTGCACACCGAGCCATCAGAACACACCATGCAGGTATGTACTGGAATAATGTCATTGATATGGTGCCCTGTTGGCTACTAGAGAGTTTATTTCAAGCCAAGTACACTCCGGGGTTAGCGATGTGACATGCATTGCATGGATAGCAATGTTATAAGATGCATCGTAGCAAAACTACGTCATTAACATGACCACGTGATCCGTTAAATATTCTCTACTGCATTGCAGTTCCTCGTCGTTGCCGCCGTGCTGGCTGTCGCCGCCGCCGCCCCGGCACCGGAGACGCCGGGCTACAAGCCCGCTCCGGCTCCCTACCACCCGGCCCCCTCCTACAAGCCAGCCTCTTACCATCCGGAGCCCCAGTACAAGGAGGAGGCCAAGCCGTTCGCCTACGACTACGCCGTCAACGATCACTACACCGGCACCAACTTCGCCAAGAAGGAGGAGAGCGATGGCCACAACACCCAGGGATATTACTCGGTGGCTCTGCCCGACGGCCGTGTCCAGCACGTTAAGTACGTCGCCGACAATTACGGCGGCTACAACGCTGAGGTCACCTACGAGGGAGAGGCCCAGTACCCCGAGTATCACCCCGCCCCTGCCTATAAGGCTGCTGCTCCGGCCAACAACTCTATCCACAAGTCTGCTTACAGCCACCCCACCCCGGTATACAAGCGTGTGACATACTAGTCAAAGGGTGAGAATGGTTGCTCTTTTAAATCCATTCGTCTTTAGTCACATTGATTTTTGTATCTTGACCTGCGTTTCGTAAATACAAAGATACGTACGAGTTGTGCGGTTTTGACGAAGGTAATCCTACGTTTTCTGTCAAAATGTTTCTGATCCGGCTGTGAGAAAAGATGTCGGCATAATCCGAAGCTTAAAACCACAATAATATTTTAAATGATTTGCTATGTCCTATCATGGACTGCTGGTGCTTACAGCGTTGCATCTTTGGAAGCTCTTTAAATTTTCGGGACGATTGCAAAAGAATTCAACATCCTTTTTCAGAAAACAAAATTGATGTGATCAGTACAATTGTCCTGTGAAAGTATTACGCTGAAAAAGCCTGACAGGTGGTTATCAGCACATGATCTTATTACACACCTATGACCTGCGACCTTCTAAGGGCTGAACAGATCTCCCTGGTTGTTAGACAACCCTCAAACCGTGGCAAGCATGTACACTACGTTTACAGTGCCACGAGAAGATCACGTTGTCATTTTGTGGGGTTTAAGTTAGACATGTTTTGCAAAGTTGCACATAAAGTTGCACAGCACACTGCGTGTGCTGTGTTTTGCCTAGCGTTCGCAGATGACTCGTCGCTGCGGCCGTGCTGCCCGCGGTTGTGCTGTCCGCGGCCAAGCTCCGTGGCCGTGCTCCGTGGCCGTGCTCCGTGGCTGTGCTCCGCAGTGGAGCTCTTCGGCCGAGTTGTATGCGGCCGGGCTCTGCGGCCGAGCTATGCGTCGGTGTTCTGCGGCCGTGCTCTGTGATCGTGCGCTGCGACGGAAGATTGCAGTCATACCTTCTCTTTTGTTAACAGGGTCGGGTGTAGTCGGTGTACCGTTTGCATTTTTAGTTTGATTTAGTGGTCGCTTCTCGTTTGTTGAGTCACTTAGTTTGCTATTATCTTGGTCTAATTTAGTGTTAGTCAATCCATGCTATTTTCGTATTCATTTTGTATTGCTAATTTTAGTCTCTGTTCCGTCTGTTTCCGCTCTGTTTAGTTCTAGGTCTAGTCTGTCCATTTCCGAGGTTTCGTTGTTTCCCTGTCAGCGTCCACGAGGGGTTGATGCGCGGTGTTGGCGGTGGGCGGTCATCAAATATAGTGCACCTGAAACCTCGGTGTCTTCGACGTGGTGGCCGTCTACATTTATATTCCTTGTGTTCGCAACGCGTCTATGATAGACATTGGTTTGGAAATGAACTTATATCGCATTGTTTACTGTAGATAGACAGCAAACTTTTCTTCGTGCGGCACATCTCAGTTCACCTACAAGGCTGTGTTGGCGATCTACACGACTTGGCAAGATTAGCCCTGGCTGTCCAGGCACCATGTCAGGGGATGAATTGCTTTAACATGCGCCCGGATGGCCGTTTAGATACCCTTCGCTTGGGTGGGGGTCAGTTGACCCTGAGATCCCAGGAACCGAGAGGGCTAGTGCCATCAACTTGACATGGTGTGTTAGCCTGAACGTGAGCTCACTTATATCAATGTTTGATGCTCCTGGGTCTTGACCTTCGTGGCAAATAAGGCTGAACAAAGTCAAACTCCAGGTTGGTTTCCAAAGTGCCCCAGAACATAAATACCTATTCTTAAATAAAGGTTGCATGACCATTGAATGTCAGTGACCTTGTTTGACATTTTGAAGGTCATCCTGACCAAAATCATGAAAGACTGCTTTGATTGCAATTTGATTAAGCGGCAAAGATTATGCGATGCAGTATGTTTCATAACACAAATATTGACTTGGGTTATTTTAGGTCAGTGACCTATTTTGACCTTTAGGAAGTGTATTGAAGACATGCAATGCAGTTCCTGTCATCATTCAATTCGGAATGAGCGCCGGAAACAATCCCGTGCAACAAGGTCTATGGTAATAAAGCAGGTAGGCTTTGACCTTGGTCTGACCATCATATCTGACCCCAGGTCGATTCAATTTGCCCATATAAGTTTCTTGTCGACTAAGAAAAATTTCAGAGATGTACGGCTTCGTCCGACACTTTGTTGTCACATCAGTTCGAATGATTCCCTAAAAACTGACTTCGCTGAATGTAATTTGACCTGCTGTAGGCCAGCGACCTTACAAGGTACATTTAAAGTTACGATATGATACCAAACGATCCGCTAATCAGTTGTCTACAGCTATGCAAAATTTGGAGCGGCTGCGCCTCGCTTTCGAAAACATTCCGGAAAATCCTTCGGGGAGTCAAGGTGGTCCCCACCCGAGCGCGAGTTAAACACTTCAAGACAACGAAGAAAATTGGGAGTTGTAGCGACTAGAGACGAGAACATCTTACGGGTCTTTACGGCAGATGCCATGACTCCGTGGCCCAATTGGACATCGAGAGCCCATTTTCCACATAACTGACAGCTTGATCACCTGGCGACACTACATACTGTACTTACTTAGCACGGTCCGGGGGTGGCTCCGACAACAACATACAGCATGTTCTCAGCCCTCATACGGTCGTGGGCCAGAGGTGTGTGGTAAGACAATGTACTGATAGGCACCTGTCAGGATGTTTCAGCGTGATGCCTTCATAGGACACTTGTATTAATAACAGACACTTTGCTTCCCGAAAATGAAATGTTTTGAATTCCTCTACAATCCAACTCAGAATTTAAGGAAGCTTGCAAAGACGATACGCTCTAAGCACCAGCAATCCATGACAGGTCGTTGCTAAAGGTCATTAAAAAGCAGCATACGGTCGCTGTCTTCAGTTTATGCGGACGTCGCTTCTCGCTATCAGATCAGAGACATTTCCTGGTGGAAGGCGTAGAATTACCTCCGTCAAAACGGCACGACTCGATAGAATGTTGTTTATTGAAGTAACGCAGGAAAAGAAAAAAAAGCACCATAACGCGAACACGAATAAGATGGAATAAGCAGCCGTTCTGACCCTGTGACTAGTATGTCACAGGCTTGAATGCCGGGGCGGGATGGCTGTAGGTAGGCTTGTGGAGAGGGTTATAACCCGGAGCGGCAGCTTTGTAGGCAGGGGCCGGATGGTACTCGGGGTACTGGGCCTCTCCCTCGTAGGTGACTTCAGCGTTGTAGCCGCCGTAGCTGTCGGCGACGTACTTGACGTACTGGAGACGGCCGTCGGGCAGAGCCACCGAGTAATATCCCTGGGTGTTGTGGCCATCGCTCTCTTCCTTCTTGGCAAAGTTGGCTCCGGAGTAGCGGTCGTTGACGGCGTAGTCGTAAGCGAAAGGCTTGGCCTCCTCATTGTACTGGGGCTGTGGATGGTAAGAGGCCGGCTTGTAGGCCGGGGCGGGCCTGTACACCGGTGTATCTGGAGCTGGGGCGGCAGCTGCAACAGCCAGCACGGCGGCAACGACGAGGACCTGCAATGCCATAGAAGATATGAATGGCTTGCTCATTCTAACAGCTTTGTTATTTTTTCGACCACAATGCATTTGTCGGAAAAATCTCTAGCATCCGACAAATTGCCACATCAACAATATAGTTCAATCACATACCTGCATGTTGTGTCTTGGTGGCCGAGTGTGCAATGAAACTAGTGGCTGCTTCTGCAGTACATTCGCTTTTATAGGTCGGCCGCCAACCACCGATAGAAGGCCACGGTCATAACGTCACTGAACAGACTGCCCCTCGGCGCGTTGTCATGTGCTGGGCTGATGCCAACGTGGATCGGCACGGATCCGTAACAATTCCTTAATGCACACTCCACTCCAGCCATGCGATGCGAAGGACAAAAGACTGTTGACAGCGCAATTTCATTACTTAGTAAAGATGGTCTTCTATACGGCATTGTTTGATTGCGTCATTGACCGTTTTTAAGATATCAGAGTCTCCACCAGAGCGGTTATCTTAGAGTTGCCGCTGAAGTGGAGAGTGACTCACCCGTCTGCTTTGACACACCGTAAAGTTGGCGTCGTTCATTTAAGCAAAGCATTTGTGTTGCAAGCGAACGTTGTGCGTGCATTAGCCTTTTTCGCGTTGTTCTTGCATTTGCATTAGTGAATGATAATCTTAAAATACGTAAATGACTGTGTAATTAATTACAAAATACAGTTCGTGATCGAGCCAGGCAATCGGCAGTCCAATCTGGCTGTTTACCAATTACCATATGACGTCACACGTTCGTTAGATACGACAGATCCAGTCATACGGTGCATCACCACCTGTCACTTAATGAACGCCATGGGTCTAGGTAGGTAGGAAGGTAACCTTCCAATGCAAAACATGATCTGCCTTATCTAAGTGCGAGGCAAAACGCCTCCCGCACAGAACGGCGTATATCTCGTAAAAAATGTTATGAGCCTGTGCATACAAAAACCATACGCAACCTAATCCACTATGTACCTCCCTTGTCGAAAATGTACATGGCGCATTTAGCACAGACAAAATTAAATGCAGCAGACAATAGACACGCCAACAGACATGCCGTCCCTGCCGGGTCGCGGCGCGGCCTCGGCCGCTCGGTGCAATGCGATCTACCGCCGCGGGCGCTGACCGCCATCCCGCGGCGGACCGTGCGGGATGCGTGATAGGTGCGTTTATCAAGCTGACTTATGAGTGGTAGTTCACCCGAACTAAATGATATGTAGTGCCTGCCTGGGATAGCAGGGGCAGGACGCCACTAGACTCGGTCCAATGCAGATCGCCGCGTCGCTATGCGTCTCTCTGTGACCGAGCTGAGCTGAACCGCTGGACGAAGACATCACAATAACAACCTACGTAATTTTGATTTCCTCATTACTGGGAACATGGCTTACCCACGTGCCAAAAACTTGGACGCAAAGGAATGCTTGGGCGTGGAAGGCTTTGAACTAAATTTATTGGGAAGAACCAAGATTTCGCCTACTCCACATCCGGACATTGACGTTCAAAGCTTTATTATGTGTGTGGCAACATCATCCGCATTTATAAACAAGGCATGCCGTCGATATGTGTGGTGCCCATATGTTTGGGCACGACGAGATTCGTATTTCTAAAAGTCAATTGCGAGCTTATTTACCTTCAAAACACTTAGAAACAAAGAGAGCGTTTACATGCCTTCGTTTGGACGGTCAGTTTCCGCTCCTGTCTGTGCTTTCTGATGAATGTTTTTTTTTTGTGATAACATCTTAATGACACAACCTATTTGAAATATTCCTGCTCATACGTTCATACCATTCCTAGAGTCCAGAATTCTGCATTTTCGCCGGAATTAACCCACGTTACAATTAGTTTGGGATGACAAATGACCAAAAATGAGGCGAATTTGATGTCGTATGATGGCGTCAAAACGTGACTCGTTCGAGGCCAGAGCGTCTGCCAGCTGGGGACTCAGCAAAGCATACATTGCTTCAACGCCTCGTTCCGAATTGCGGGCATGATTGCTCAGAGTTCAGCGCATTGCCAAGAAAGATCGACACGAACCTGCTGCGTCATAAACTGCATGTTCTTTGCTATTTATCGTCCAGCTCATCTGTAAAGATTAGATGACCTGTCCATATACAACGTCATGGGTCACATTATGATCAGCTTCAAGGAGATGGACGTGTACCAGGAATTCTGTGCGAATTCGTCAGGGCAGCCGGTGACACCGTTGAAGACGTCCGTTCACTGGCACCCTGATCGTGACCGGCTGTCAGTGGTTAGCGGCCGACCTATAAAAGCGAAAGCACCAAAGGAGCAGACAGCACTTGTACTGCACACCCAGCCATCAGAACACAACATGCAGGTATGTGCTGAAATAATGTCATCGGTATGGTGCCCTGTTGGTTACTAGAGTTTACTTCAAGCCATGTACGCTGTGGGCTTAGCGATGTGTCATGCGTTGCACGGACAGCGAGGTTACGAGATATATCGTAGCAAAACTGCGTCATTAAAATGACTGCCTGATCTGTCACATATTCTCTACGGTATTGCAGATCCTCGTCGTTGCCACCGTGCTGGCTGTCGCCGCCGCCGCCCCGGCGCCGGAGACGCCGGGCTACAAGCCCGCTTCGGCACTCTACCACCCGGCCCCCTCCTACAAGCCAGCCTCTTACCACTCGGAGGCCCAGTACAAGGAGGAGGCCAAGCCGTTCGCTTACGACTACGCCGTCAACGACCCCTACACCGGCACCAACTTCGCCAAGAAAGAGGAGAGCGATGGTCACAACACCCAGGGATATTACTCGGTGGCTCTGCCCGACGGCCGTGTCCAACACGTCAAGTACGTCGCCGACAACTACGGCGGCTACAACGCTGAGGTCACCTACGAGGGAGAGGCCCAGTACCCCGAGTTCCACCCCGCCCCTGCCTATAAGGCTGCTGCCCTTGCCTACAAGCCTGTCCACAAGCCTGCTTACAGCCATTCTGCTCCGGCACACAAGCCTGCGGCGTACTAGTCACAGGATGAGAGCGGTTACTCATTTAAATACATTAATAATTTTGTGATCATGATTTTCTTTTCTTGGCCCCTGCGATACGTAAATACAAAGATTCGCCCTGAGTCATGAGGTTTTGACGGAGGTAATCCTAAGTATTTTCGTCAAAATGTCTCTCGTCCGGCGGTGAAAAAGGACGTGCGCATAAACCGAAGCTTCATACCACAAAGGATTTAAAATGAGAAGCTATGTCCTGTGTTGGATTTGTGGTGCTTGGAACAGCGTTCCATCTTTCGAAACTCTTTAATTTTGTGGGGATGATTGTAACTGAATGTAACATTTTTCAGGAAACAAGGTGTCTGCACTCAGTGTGGAGACCTTAATATCTATACACTAAAACATTGGTTACCCATGAAAGTATCACGCGGAAACTGCTTGGCAGGTGGTTATCAGCACATGGTCACACCTATGACCTGGGACCGTACAAGGGCTGAACAGATCTCCTCCCTGGTTGTTGGACTACGCCCAAGCTGTGGGAAGCATGTGCAATACGTTTAAAGCGCCACGGGGGATCACGTTGTCATGGTCATGTGGTCATGGTCATGGTCACGTGGTCATGGTCATGTGGCCATGGTCATGTGGTCATGGTCATGTGGTCATGGTCATGGTCACGTGGTCATGGTCATGTGGTCATGGTCATGTGGTCATGTGGTCATGGTCATGTGGTCATGGTCATGTCACATGATGTCATGTGGTCATGGGGTTACGTGGCTCTCGATGTCAGCGTGGGTGACAACGGCATGGCGTCTACCGTAAAAGTTCGGTAGATATTTTCGCCTCCACTTGCAACAATCGCGGTTGTCTCCCTTGTACTGAAGTATTCTAAAACAATTCATCCACTGACATGGCGGCTGTACAACTATGTTAGACATGCTTTGCAAGGTTAGCCCTACCAGATCACCAGCAGACATTTTGTGAGACCAATTTAGATGCGTCGCATCAAAACATGCTACGGTCCATTTAGAGCCACTGCCCCGTCGTGGTCGGCGACTCGCGCTCAATCCACTCGCTGGTGCTTCTGTTTAGGATGTGCGCTGCGCCGGCACTGCGACGGCTCGGTCCGGGCTCCGCCGCTCGAGCCGCCTCGGGTGGGCCGGCGGCCTCTGGCGCGCCTCGCCGGCGCCAGCTCGCCTCGGACGTTCGGTGGATGTCGAGGAGGTCTGTCGGCACGCGTCACTGCCATCGCCCCCGCGGCTCCTTGTGCGCCGGCTGACCATCTCGATGCCGAGCTGAGCTGAGCTGGCGGTCTCACGCGACAAATAAACCAAACACTGCCTGCTTGCTTCTGACAGATGTGGGCCTCGCGTCGCCCGCGCTGGTCTGTGAAGGGCTTCAGTGCTGCTAGTCTGTACCTTGCGTCGGTTATCGTGACTGAAAGCGTTGGCGTAGATGTGATTAATAGCCTGGAAACAACGGATTTCAGCTGGGCTCTCACGGCCACTCCCTGTTGGTCACGTCCCTCCCTTAACGCGGCGACCCTGCGGCCGCTGACCCCTCTCAGTGACAGCAGCCTCGGGCACTTACCGCTCTCCCCAGATCCGTGACACCAAGATAGAATGTTGCGTCCTGAGGTTTAAGAATGAATGTTGAAGACCGAAACGGTTCCTTACCGTGGAGATAATGACGGCGCTAGATCGGCTGCGATGCGTAATACATCACATGAAACATCTGCGAGAAACGAAACTGAGTATCCGGGCGGTCCGTTAAGTGCAAAAGGCAAGCTGTCAACCACAACTGATGGTGCAAGATAGGAAGAACATGTAAAAGCATGAGCATCGCACCTGAGGTATGATAGTGGACGGAAACACTAGTTCATTGACACAAACCTTCACTTCCTTAACAGTGGAAGCGGAAATACATGAAGAACCATCGAGTCGCAGACCAACCATGGTGCTCATCGCGATTCCACCTTTCACGCAAATATTATGGTCACCTTCTGCTATTGTTTTGATAAAGGCATGTTGCCAAAATATAAACCCAACTGTTGCTGTTGTTTTTTGTCTCCGAGGAACAATGCTATTACTATTGTCTTGTTTAGGTGGATTTTTTTGCATGTGATTTTTACAACAAAGAGTTTATAGTCCCCTAACAGCATATGTTCCTAT